ATCAGGCTCCAGCCGAGGCCATAGCGCCGCCTGCTGCTTTAGGACGACACTTCAAGCTCAGTTGCTTGAGAAGTCAGAGAACCCTGGTCTTCTGACTACATAGAATATGGGGTACATGGGGATCTTATTATAATATACCCAAAGCCATATTCTATCTATCTAAGGGGGACTATATTCCCCAAAAACAGAAATTCCCTTCAATACATCCCAAAATAGGTGGATCCTTAACAAAGGAACCTCCACAAGGGGACCTCTGAGTTGGGGAATCCCCTCCCCATATGTCGTTTGAGGACTTGTTCTGCTGGACGACCTGCTCCGTGCTGTGCTTCGCTTCTTTGAGGGCGAGCCTGCCGAGGCGGCAGAAGATAACAATCTTCGTGCTTGAATGCATGTATGTATGTTTGTATATATATATATATGTCAGTATCCTCATCTATTTCCACGTACTCTTGTTTTTGGGATTGTCTATATATATATTCTTATATACGTATATACACATTATCTGTTATGTTGTCTTGTATATGCACATGTATACATATATATATATATGCATAAATAGACGTAAAAACCTTTGGGCCCTTGTGAGGCGTGGCCATTTGCTCTCACAAGTCGCGGCCTTTACGAGCTTTGGAGCCAAGACGACGAGCCAGAGCCCCAGTCAGAGGATCAGGGACGCGGTTTAGGGTTTAGGGGCTAAATCATGAGAATAGGTCGGGCTGGGCCCCACCCAGTAATAGGGATACAAAAGGATGTACAAGGACCTTGGTGCAATCCCAGTATCCGCTGCTGTGACTAGTAGTGGTTGGGGTGTAACTCATGGAAGGTTTAGGCTTTAGGACTTGAGGTTTGCGGCCCTTGGTTGGGTTTAGGATAGGGTTCAGGGTTCAGGGTTTACCAGTAAGCCCTAAGCCCTAAAACCCCAACGGTTTATGGTTTTGGGTTGAGGGTTGTTTAGGTCATTCGGTGGCCGAGGTGGTGGGAAGCGTGTTACCAAGGCACCACCTGGCAGAGGCCTCTTGCGCCTTGCGGAAAGGGCTCTGGGTTTATTACCATTACTAAGGGTTTGGGGGCGGATTTTGAGATTTAACATTTTCAATTTTTAAAAGTTTACCGTTACGTAGGGTTTGGGGGGCGGATTTTGGGTTTTAAAAGGGTTTAGGGGGCTCTGAACAAGCTCTAGATGCGTCATTCTGTACGTGTCTATGGGGGCTTCCCCAAATTAGGGGTACCTTTCGGGGGGTCCCTATAATGAGGACTACAGCGTTTAGGGGTCGATATTGGGGTCCCCCCATTCTGGGGAACTACCCTATGTTTATGTATAATATGTGCGTAGAAAATATAAATGCATCTGCAGACATACTGTTGGTCGAAGAAATTTGGCACCACCACATATATCCCCAAGGAGGTGTTAATCACAGCGCTTCTTGTCACAAACACAACGTAACATGAGTTGATATAACATAGTGTAATACAATATGAGTGTCATAACATAAACTGCACAATCTAACAGAACACCTATTCTGGGCTATAAGAAAACATGACACAATGCCACATGGATACTTTGCATACTAAGAAGAAGATTTCATGAACATCTTTCATATGTACTCCTTATATATGAAACATGGTTGTGTACACATCTATTCACGCAAATAATCTATAGAAACACACATTCCCTATTGAGCCCAACAGAACCCTAAGGTATAGCCCATTAGAATGTAGTAGTTTCCATTTTATTTTCCATTATCCCAATATAACTACATATTATTCATACGCAATATCCGTCATGCAGGCTTCCTGTTCTGGAGACCTGGAGGGCAGCTCCCCTACCAAGCGTCAACCGGCTCATGCGCGAGGCTAGCATGCAGTTATTTTGTCATCTTGGGCCTACATAGGGTTATATATATATATATGTATATTTATAGGGTTATACAGGAATATTAGGTGAACATGAATGAGAGAAAGAGAGAGAGAGAGAGAGAGAGAGAGGGAGAGAGGGAGAGAGAGAGAGCAGAAGATGTATCACAAGCAATCCTAATACCAAGTCACCAAGTCAGCCGACATTCCGCAGTTCATGGTCGTGGCTGAGCTTGCAGGCCATGCTTTTGGTATCCATGATGGCAGAGACGTTCGGGTATGCCAAGCACGCTTTGTCAGATGTCATTCGCATGACTGATACACCCTGGCAACATTCGCAGAGTAGTTAGGCAACTTGATCACCTGTGATGTTGTGTGGACAGCTGTTATGTGTGAGCAATATGTCTAGAAAGAGTTGCCTGTGAACCCTAAACCCTCAGCCCTAAACCCTTAACCCAGAAAGAATTGCCAGGATGATGGTGTTGCTGAATCCAAGCACCGCTACCTATTCTACTTCTTGGGCCGCTGCTCCCTGCATTGTGTGCTTCTGAGAAGCCTAGTCAAGTGGTAGTTTCCCAAAATAGGGGGAACCCTGTTTAGGGTTTAGGGGGACCTCAATATAGACTCCAAAATGTTATAGTCCTTATTATAGGGACCCCTACAAAGGTCCCTCTAATTTTGGGCAACTGCCGAGTGCAGATGTGCTTTGGCTTCTGTCGGGCGAGACTTAGCCACATGAGCTCTAGCCTAAACTCCTAGTATCCCCCTTCATAAGCCCTGTAATATCTCCCTTAACAAGCCCTATAATATCTCCCTTAACAAGCCCTATAATAGGAACCCTATATAGTCCCCTATATGACTAGATAACCCCCTTTCAGGAGTAGACTACACCCTAAACCCTAAACTCTAAACCCTAAACCTATACAGCTCACATCATCTTAGGCTTCAACCCTGCTAGTGGTCTCATGCTCACCATGGCTACCGAGGCAGGAGCGTTTTTCAGCAGCCAGCATCTCCTGGTTTCGGGTCTTAGGGTTTTAGGGTTTAGGGTCTTAGGGTTTAGGGATTTAGGGCTTGGGGTTTAGGGTTTTAGGGTTTAGGGTCTTAGGGTTTAGGGTTTTAGGGTTTTAGGGTCTAGGGTCGTAGGGAAACTATCATAATATCATCCCTATGTGAGCTATGGTCAACACTCCTTAAAGGGTTATATAGGGGAGTATTATATAGGGGTTACTAAGGGAGATACTAGGAGTTCAGACTATAGCTCGTATAACCCTATATAGTAATTTACATTTCATCTTCCGCTCGCTTTTCCATGTGATGCTCCGTTGTTGGGGTAATGTCTCTATATTATCCCCACCGTGTGAGACATCCAGTCATGGTCTGCAGACGCAAGACCCTAAACCCTAAATCAAGGCAGTCCGACCTAGTTCTCATTGAGATGTCACGACTTCTCAGCCTTGTCAGCAAGTTCGCCGTCTACGTGCAGGCCAGAGAGATATGGCAGTTTCCAATATGGACACTCAAACGGCTACAATCCCCATTATAGGGACCCCCAAAAGGTACCCCTAATTTCGGGAACCCCTCATACATGCCTTTTTCCTGACCTTCGGTAGCTTAATAGTGTTGAGGATGAGTGCCCAAATCCTCAACCCTGAGCCCTCAGCCCTAAACCCTAACTGATGTGACTGATGTGGCCCCTGTTTGCAGACTATGTTTCTGCTCTTGCTTTCGTTGGCGGCGCAGCCACGGTTCCCATTGCGCTGGAGCCTGCGTCAGGAGGGGGAATGGCAAACTACAGCGGTTATAAGCAGTAAGTCGTGAGGCCACTGCATCTGCCCAGTCTATGTCAGGAGGGGCTCACCTTCTGTGCTATGGAAATAGCTGCCCTAGTTGCCAGGACCTCGGTACACAAGACCTCTAGAGTACTTGCACCGCACCTTGATAACCAGGTGATGTATGCCCTGGTTCTCTATCGACTGCTGGCCAGATTCCTGGATCGAGTATGGTTGGGTATTATTATCATTATCATTATTCTTCTTCTTATTATTATTTCTATTATTACTACTATTATTATTATTACTATTACTATTATTGCTATTACTATTATTGGGCACTTTCTGGAGTCTTGTCTAAAGGCGGTCATGGCCCGATGCCGTGCTGCTTCGCCCCTCTATGCAGTCCCAGCAGAGGAGTGTCACAGATGCTTAGAGCAGAGCGCATTCCACAACCCCTAAGTATTATAGTAGTTTCCATTTTCTTTTCCATTCTCCTCATATAATCCCTATATAACGCCCATATAATCCCTATAAAACATAGTAGTTTCCTATCCACATTGGTCACTTCACAAAGTCCGCACTGCAGGAGGTGGTGCCCGAGCAGAGCCACCGCAGCAAGCAGGGAGCTAACTTTGCTGGTCCTACTTGGTATTGGGGTTATGTCAGTGGTTGTTTTGGGATAGTGAAAAATGAAATGGAAACTTCTATATCATATTGGGGTATATGTGGGGTAATACTGGGGTTATATTGGGATAATGGAACACGAAATGGAAACTGGTTCTTTCCCAAGATAGGGGGGACCCCAATATAGACCCCCAATATACCATAGTACTGATTATAGGGACCCCCCAAAGGTACCCCTAATTTTGGGAAACTACCATTTCTCGCGGGAACTCAACCTGCATTTTGCGTGCGTCATCTTGGATCAACAGCTGACATGTTGCTGCCGACACTTCAAGGCCCTTGATAGTGCCTATAATACTCCCCTATATAATCCCTTATATAAACCCTTTTTAAGGAGTTTGGATTATAACTCATATGGTCATCACATCATGCCAGCAGAGCTGTTAAACTCATTTTGAGCTACACGGCACGTGGTGAACCCAGACTCCCGCCTCCATTTTCCTTCCTCCGTGCCCATCCGCTGCGTGCGCTACACACGTGTCAAGGCAGGCGCTCCTCGCGCATCCTGAGCGCGCTCACACTTGTCCTTCTGAGTAGTAATAGTAGTAATAGGAGCAAGTACTAAAAGTTTTAAGACCATAATGGTAATATTCAGGGTAATAAGAATAACAGTAATAAGAATAATAGTAATAAGAATAGTCATATAAACCAACAAGATGAAGTCACGCCAAGTTACTCTGTTGCCAGATGGCGGCTGGAGGAACGCTGGTCTTCGGAGGCCGTGGCTTTGTGGGTGCTGTGGCTCGGACGACAATCGATCGTTACTATTGCTATTGTTAGTTGTCATGTCTATTACTAGGTTGACTATTATACTTACTAACTTACTATCATGATTAATACTATGACTATTACTATCAATTTTTAGTGTTGTTACTTTTGCTACGTCTATGTGCGTGAAATCTGCAATGTGGGAGCCCAGGCGATTTGCAAAGAGCTGGCTCGTAGAGGCAAGTGCCACTTGAAACACCACCGGTTTAGGGTTTTGGGGTTTTAAGGTTTAGGGTTTCTTGATCTACATTCATATAACATGGATTAAGTTGTTTTAGGTATGTTAGTATATTATGGCATATTGCGGTATATCATGGTACACTATAGTATTTGGGGTCTGTATAGGGTAGTACCGTAATACGAATAATATTAGTCATAATAATGGTAATAACAAACACAGTAGTAATAAGGAGTAGCAATAACAGATAATCACGAATAATAATAAGAATAAAACATAGCAATAATGATGAACAGTTATAGTGGATGTGTGGCTGGCAGGGCTGACTCCAGTGATGAGTCTCAGCCGCTCGCAGCCAAAAAGCCCATCGGGAGAAAAAGGTGCGATCCAGGCAGAGATTGGTTGCTTAGGGTTTCTAGTCCCCGTTAAGTAGAAACCCTAACCTTCCTTTTGGCACAGGAAGTCGGTGGAGTGGATGCTCTGAAGCCAGATACCTTCGAGTCTCTGCTGTCGGATGCGCGTGCAGTTGTGTTTCTTGGCATGCCGCGGTTTAGGGTCTAGGGTTCAGGATTTAGGGTTTACGATTTATGGTTTAGGGTTTATGGTTTAGGGTTTAGGATTTAGGGCTTAGGATTTAGAGTATAAGGGCAAGAGAAGGCACCAACTTCATTCTTAGCTTTAGCAGCCGTGCCCTCAGGTTCCCCGAGTTGGCACCCAAGGGATGTTGAAGCTGCTAAAGTGAGGGGAGAAGACTGTTTGCTTCCACCAAAAATTGGGGGGGGGGATACTGTACCTTTTTGGTGGTTTCCTTTTAAGGATTAATATATTTTGGGGTCTATATTGGGGTCCCTTATTTAGCGGAACTACCACATGCGTCGCGATAGAAATTGAAAGAGCATCTAAGAGGCCCCTTACTGCAACTTCTGACTTCACTGCTAGCAACTACATCTGTACAGCACGGCGGTTTAGGGTTTAGGGTTTAGGGTACAGCAGGGGATGTTCCAAACCTGCATTGAGTTGCTCTATGGTCAACGCGCCAAGGATTGCCATTGGCGAGCCTCCCTGGGTCACCGATAAAGAGCGGGCAATGAGGTGCCTGCTATTTTTGTTCTATGTCTACTATTAACTATTACTATCTATTACTACTATTCGTGTTATTATTATTGCCTCAACTACTACTATGAGTATATCATTTTTATTGTTCGTAGTATTATTACCGCTGTAGCTGGAGTGGAACAGGTCGAACGGAACCACCAACATCACCATCATGCAGACAGCAGCAAAGTACAAGGCGCGTACGATGAACGTGTGCGGTTGCCATGATGTGCTCCTCCCGCATGGGCACAACCCCAAACCCTAAACCCTAAACCCTAATCCCAAGCTAGTGGTGAACAGCGTATGAGCTACGGTCAATATCCAGGTTACGGACATAAGGGTCCCTTTTGTAGTTTAGTACAGTCCCTGATATATCTCCTCAAACCAGGAACCCATGTCCATAAATCGGAAGTATTGCTGTAGCCCCTTAAGTAGATAGAATATGGCTTCGGGTATCCTTTAAACAGATCCCCATGTACCCCATGTTCTATCTACGTAAGGGGGACTATACCCATGTTATGACTAATATGCAAACTTCGCAGACAGGTTCCCCGTGTTGTGCTCGTCAATGCTACCATGCCCACCTGGGGCGTGATTGATGCTCAGTTGCAATCAGATAAGCTATGGTCTAAAGTCTAAAGTCCTTTGAAGGGGGTTAGATAGGGGAAGCTATATAGGGGACTACTATGGGGATTATTCGGGGGATGCTAGGAGTTTAGACTATGGCTCAGATATCCTCAACAACTTTTGAGGGTGCAGCTGTAGCAGCGAATAGAGTCCAGTAGCTACTGTTGATGGAGGACGCCTTAGGAAGCCCAACCCTAAATAGTAGCTTCCATGTTCTTTTCCATTACCCCTATATACTACATAGTAGTTTCCGTTTTCTTTTCCATTATCCCCATATGATCCCAATACATTCCCTATAATCCCTATACAAACCCTATATGACTCTGTACTTCCTAGGGTAGAGGGTGCATAAGATGGTGCAAGATTTCCTTCATCCAGACTATCTATCACCCCCCACCCTAAGCCCTGAACCCTAAACTCTGAACCCCAAGCCCTAAACTCTGAACCCTAAACCATGAACCCTAAACCCCACCTTAAGCCCAGTAAGTACCTGATCTGGCGGCAGGCTGGATACCGCGAGGGCAAGCTAGCCGCAGAGCGCGAAGCGTTGAGCTATCCAGCTGCCGTCTCAGAGGGCAGTTTGCTGTGGAAGCATCTTACAATGAGCTGTAGTCTAAACTCGTTAAAAGGGGAGTGTTTTACGGGATGTTAGGAGGTATCTTAAGAGTTTAGACTATAGCTCAGATAGCAATTTTACGTACCAATAAGTTACTGTTAGTAAGGATGTTAAATGGGAATAACGATGCCGCGCCAATCAAACATCACACTAACATGGAAACTGCTACACCCTAAACCCTAAACCTCTAAAGCTGGGCCCTGGCGATTGGTTCCAGGAAAAATGCGCTTCACCCTGCAGCGTTCTCGCACCAAGCTTGGATTGCAGAGCACTTTCCTGGGTAGGCCCCTGAAATATTGAATATTTGCCCTAATGGCTTTAATAAGGTACCCTATATACTCAAATTTTTGAAAGGGCTTTAGGGGCCAACCCGGTTTCTATTCAGTTTGAGATCTAGACAGAGCTGTTCCACTGAATATAGTAGCTTCCATTTCATTTTTCATTATCCCTATATAACCCCAATATACTATAGTAGTTTCCATTGTATTTTCCCTAAACCCTAAAGCCTTGTTCCACTGTTTGTTCCAGTCGTGATTCCCCAAGGTGATTAAGCCAGGTGCCATCTCTGGCACGAGGCAAGAGGGCTGTTTTCAGGTTCCGCCAGAGCCTTAGCGAACGGAATGCAACGAAAGTCTGCTGCCTACACCCTAGAATATAATTAATATTAATTACCATTACTATTACTGTTACTATTATTCTTACTATTCTTATTATTAGTATGTTTACTATTCCGATTATTATTACTATTAATTATTAAAAAGCCTGAACTCAAGGCTGTGGCTGCTCCTGGAACCTATGCGACTGGTGATGTCGGCTTTGTCAGGGCGGGGATGGATGCTGTAGACAATCTGGTAGTTTCTCAAAACAGGGGGACCCGAATATAGAACCCAAAATACTATAGTCCTTATCATAGGGACCCCCAAATGGTACCCCTAATTTTGGGAATCTCCTATCTATCAGTGTTTGAAGAAAACTTCATCCAGAATGCGCGATTTGTGCCAGCGGTACAGAGGCCTAATGGCTTTCAAAAGGTCAGCCTACAAGAAGCATGTAGTCTTGGGGAAGACTGCGAAGTCTGTCTGCGTACACCGGCGAAACTGGGTTGTTGTAAGACATGTGCTGAAGCGCGCCGATTCGTTCATGCGTCCATGTCCCCACCCGACTTTCGAGCAAAAGCCGATTCTGGCCTTCGTTGTGGGCTGTATGTTCCGCGGCTGGACGGTGGGGCGCGCACCTGCGTTTCACAAGCTCTCCAGCATGGAAATTTGAGTGAAATCATCTTTGGGAGAGCAATCCACAATAACCTGAGACTAGGGTGTAGGGTACGGCCTTTTGCTCCCAGGGCCACAGATTACGTAAGTCCTTGTGTGATGCAATCTGAGCTATAGTCTACATTCCTTAAGGGGGGTTAATTATATATAGGTCATACAGGGAGGAGTATTGTAGGGCTTCTTAAGCGGGATAGACTAGGAGTTTAGACTAGAGCTCATAAATCCCTTTATGATATGTTCCTTTACTTCCCCTCTATTCTCCCAATATAGTCCGTTTATAACCTCATATTATACCCCTAAATTCCCACCGACTAAGAGCCCTAAACCCTAAACCCCCAAACCCTAAACCCTAAACCGCGACATCGGGCCCGGGTACGCAGGCCATGTGAAGCCTTGGAGAGGTGGTTTCCCAGCCTGCTTGGAGGCGCTGGAAAGACTGGGCTGCTGTAAAGGAACTTTGATTGAGCTACCATAATAACAAGGGTTTAAGGTTTTAGGGGTTTAGGGGTTTAGGGGTTTGGGGTTTAGGGTCTAAACTCCTTAAAGGGGGGGGGGTGGTATAGAGACGATTAGATATCATGGGGTTATCCAGGGGTTTAATAGGAGTCTGGACTATAGCTCATATGGGTATGCAGTGGATAATAAGGTTTGCTTATCATAGCAACTTGATCTGAGTTCCTTAACAGCAACCCAGAAGATGCATTGCCGCACTATAGTGGGAAGAATGTTCATTATCGTGGGGCATATAGTACCATTCTGCACTGGCGCCAAGTTCATTATTTAGGGGCTGGAGAGGTTTGTTCTGAGGGGGACTTGTAAGCAGAGGGACATCCCTAAACGCTATGCATCCCTACAGGCTAAACCCTAAACCCTAAATCCTAAACCCTAAACCCTAAACCCTAAATCCTACACTAAACCCTAAACCTTAAACCCTAATCCCCACATCCCCCTTAACATGGCTCTGTACCTTGCAGGTGTCTTGCGACCTCCCGTGCGAGTGGAGGCGCCTCAGCCGTGTGTCAGGTACAGATTGGGCAGAAGCCTTTCAAGCCCCGCAAGCCCCTAAAACCCTTAAAGTCCTAAACCCCTAACCCTAAACCCCTAAAACCCTAAACCCCTGAGCCCCAAACCCCTCAACCCCAAACCCCTATATCTGAAACCCCTAAACCGCTAAACCCTCAACCGTCTAATCAGAAGGAGATTGCCATGGCTGCAGCAGACATTGTGGAGGACTCCTCAGAGGGCTAGACTTACCGGTGGTTAGTAGGGAATTGTAGGGTTTAGGGTTTAGGGAATTCAGTATATAGGGATTATATTGTTATGTTTCCTTACTCTCTACTAATCACAAGTATGTAATTGGTGCCTATGTCTTGCCACTCTCATAGCCGGGCCTTCGCTGCAGGATGCATCACTCACAGGCATCAAAGAGATCGGCACGAAGGAGCTAGTTGGTTATGTGAGCACCACGGCGGCATTGTTGTGCTCCAGGTGAGTAGTATTTTATTTGGGGGTAATACGGTACCCAATATAGAGTAAGATTATATCCTCCTTTTGGGTATAGTATTTTATACAAGGAATATAGTCTTACTAGGTTCAACCACCAACACTACCCATGTGTCTTGGCAAGCTTTCCACATTTGCCTTCACAAGGTTCCGCAAACTCTCAGAAGACAGACTGAGATAGCTAGCTGCTGACCGTTTCACTGGCATACTGCGTGCCTGTGGGGATTGATTCTCAAGGCTTTTCCGGGTCGATCGCTTCCACCGCGCAACGGCTAGACTTAACATGAGCAAAGGCCTAAACTCTTTAAAGGGGGCCTCATAGGGGATTGCATAGGGGATTATTCTAGGGCTAAAAGATAGTAGGAGTTTAGACTATAGCTCACATAGGATGGTAGGAGTTGGAAGCAAACAGCCTGCTTCGGCATTCGCCCGATTTTCTGATGGCACAAGACCACTCCTGAGCCATCACCAAGAATCCAAAAAGCTGTGTGCGACATTTTGACTGTTGGTGCTTTGGCTTCCTAGTGGGTTGCATTCCATTCCCCGATTCCCTACCAACCGTCACTAAACCCCAAGCCCTAAACCCTAAATCCGAAGCGTTAAGTTCTAAACCCCAAGCCCTGAACCCTAAACCCTCGACCCAACATGGCCAAGATAGCTCCCCCAGCAAACTGCTGACACAAAAAACTTGCCAAGTGGTGACCAAACAAGTGCTATAGTATATTGGGGCTATATAGGGGTGATGGGAAACAAAACTTACGTGGTTTAGGGTTTAACAACCAAGCCGCAGCAGTGTCCATTGTCTTTTCCATTCCTGCCAGTCCCGGGATCTTAGGACCCTAGGACCCTAAACCCTAAGCGCGATCTCTTCCAGTCCTTAGTAGCCGCTGCAGATAAGCAACGGAGGTACTGGCTGAACTTACTCTACATAATCCCAGTCCTCACTTCATGCTGCGTGTTCTTTGCCATCTCCTAGACAATTATAAGCCTAAACCCTAAATGAACGACATGATCGTTTCCATTCTTTTCCCATTCTCCTAGTAGCCAAAGGTAAGCAATGACATGATACTTTCCATTCTCTTGTCTGCTCTCCTTGTAGCCACAATTAGGCAATGAAGATAATCACACTGAGTAAATCCTACATATCCCCATTTTCCTTTTCCATCTTCAACCTTAAATCTTCCGAACAACCATAAGCACCCAACACAGGAATGTCCATTTTCGTTTGCATTCCCCTACTCCCCACGGGTACGCAAAGGGGATAATCACCCTAAATGAGCCCTGAACAATCTGATATTTCATGTCATCTTGCATGTTCTAACCCTAAATCCTAGATCCTAGATCCTAGATCTTACTTCAACAACAAAGTAGTTTACATTTTCCTGTTCATTCCCTAAATCCTCCATCCTCGACCCCACCTAAACAGTAAAGAAGTATACATTTCCTTTTCCACTTCCTGAACCCTAGAAAAACCACAAGCCGCAGAACCTAAACAACAAAATAGTCTAGTTTCCATTTTTTTGCATTCCATATAGCCTAAAGCCGTTTCCATTTTCTTTTTCCATTCCTGCCAGTAACCGCCAGCAAGCTGAGCAGTATATTCCCCATCATCTATCCTTTACATGATCGTATATATCCCTATATGATCCTGTAAAACCCTATATAGCCCTACACAATCATTACATAATCCTTATGCAACCCTTAACCCTAAACCCTAATCCCTATGCACGCCCTATATAGCCCCTCATACAATCCCTGAACCCTAAACTCTAAACCCTAAGCCCTGAACCCTTATTCCTAAACCCTCAACCCTAAACCCTTATCCCGAAAACCTAAACCCTAAACCCTTATCCCTAAACCCTAAACCCAATCCCCAATCAGCCCTAGGCCCCTCTACCTTGGGGCATCGCCGGGCTCCTTCGCGCCAACGCAGCTCTGCGCCTGGGAGGAGCTTGCAGTAGCAAGCGGATCCTGGTTAAGCTTTGGGGTTTAGGGTTTAGGGTTAAGGTTTTAGGGTTTGGGGTTTAGGGTTAAGGTTTGGGGTGTAGGGTTTAGGGAGTTCCTTAGGATTTTTGCTGAGTTTTGTGTATACATGTACATATATATATATATATTTACCATACCTATATACACATAGATGTGTGTGTACGGATACAAAAACATATATATATATATATACGCTTATGTATACAGGCATATGTGGGAGGTCCATTTGGGACGACCGTTGGTAAATAACATAGAATACACGTATATATATATATATACACATAATTATTTAAATATGTTTGAAGAGATTTGCCTCCTACCGCACAGCTGTCCACGTGCACGTACCATGTGCGATGGCTCTCAGCCACAGATCCCCGTAGAGTCAGAGCTGCCAGTGCCAAAAGCAGGTTCAGCTAGAAGGTTGAAGTTACAGAGACAAGATCACAGCTAAGAGCCACCTCTGAGTCTGGCTCGTGAATTGCCTGGA